TTCCAATAAAAATTATCTGGTTTAGTAGCTCTTCCTTTCTGTATATTCAAACTTCTTAAAAGATTTGTTACTATAAATTAAACCTGATTGGTAATTTAAGGTGGGAAAGAATAAACAATTGAAATTGCCTTTTAATGACAATCGTGTTTTCAAGGAGTACATTTTACTCCCAAAAGCATCCCTATGTTCATTCCAAAGTCTTTCCCTGAATTGCCAGGCTGGTGTGGTCCTGCAAGAGGCACAGAGAAGAAGCCTCCATAAAAAGGAAGAGGAGAATGTTCCTATTCCTCAATAAAGGTCCCCAAATCTAAAGGAAAATACTAGCGAAACAAGAAGAACAGGCATGAGTACATCCACAAATGGAAAAAGACTCACTTGTCAAGTGAAGAGGAGGAAATGAAGATGCAGTTCCTGATAGGATTTTTTTTTAAAAAAAGAAGCAATGAAGTGTTTCACAAAAGTGGCTGGCATTTATCAAGAAATAACAGCCACCCACAGAACAGGAGTTCCCAAGTTCTCTCACTTTGAGCGGTTGCAAAAATAAGTAGACAGGGTAAATGTAAGGCAAGAAAATTAAACATCTTTATTGTGCTGTCCCAGCCAGTCTATGGGAATTGGATAGTTGCTTTGGAATTATGAGCTGTCCCCTTAAGGGAATGCATCATGGTAAATGTAGTTAAAGATATCCTGGGAAATGTAGTCCATGAAAATTTATGGTCATCTGAAAGTGGATGATAAACCAGGTGGTTCTTTCAGTTGCAGGAGCCATTTGTGGGTGATATCTTAGCAGAGCTTCAGGGAAGAGGGGATCCATCCAGTCCTTCTAAAGAGGTTGTTTTCTCAAGGATCCAAGTAGAGCCAACTTGTCAGGTAAGTAGGTTTCTTGTGAGAAGTTTAAATTTTTGTTCAAGAGCTACTTTGAAAATCAAATGCTGAATCGGTGTGCCTGGTCTCCCCATGGAATGATTCAGTCTCACTGATTCAACCTTCAGAACTGTTCTGTGGGTGCACAGGAAGGACAGTTCAGAAGAATTTTGTATTAAGAAATGTAATTGATATGTTGGAATATTTTTCAAAAGACTGGACAATACGTTTTTAAAATTAAAGGCCATTAAGCGAAACAATAGCAATTGTAAAAAAAAAATTGTTCCAGAAATAGACCAACCTATCCACTTTAAAAAGCTCATATGAAGGACAGGTATGTGTACCCCTAAGTCAAAGCTAACTGGTTGTAACAATAAGACTGTTGGTCAAATGATCTGACATTTCCAGGATCATTTCCAACATTTTGAAATAGGCCACGTAAGAAATTCCTAGTTAAGTTTGTCCTGTTTTTAAAGAAATGTTATTTTGCTGAGCCAGGGAGATGAGGCCAGGGAATTCCTCTTCCCAAAACCTTGTTGAGTTATTCCAGGCCAGTGGGCATGTGTGTTCCATACGTGTTGCCACACTACAACTTGGATGCATCTAAGGCATGTTTTCTGCCTTTACAACAGGTTTCCCAGCCCTATGTGGACGTGCAGAACCTATGCTTGTCCTATTGGAAATATCCAACTGGACTCTGTTTTCTCTTTTGGGAGTAAGAAAAGAAAAAGAAAGGATTGTCTGCTGGAGAAGATTTTCTTTCTCTTTCTAGGACTCTGATCCCTTTGAGGATGTGGCTGTGGACTTTACAGAAGAAGAGTGGGCAATGCTCGATTCTGGCCAGAAGGCCTTGTGCAAGGAAGTCATGGTGGAACTTTTCAGGAATATGGCTGCTCTTGGTAAGGATCATCTTTTCTCTTGAGTTCCATTCATTGGGAAAGGTGTTTTAAGTGGGAAATAAAGAAGATACCTACATTCAATTACTTAAGGTGGTCAAACTCTACCTGTCCCCCATCTGGCACCATCTTTCTAACCTTTCCTAATGTCAGGAAAATCGCGGTCACAATGTTTACTATGTAACTAATATCCAGTGGAGGAGCCATGGCCACAAAGAGCCTCATACACATTTCTTCGATTCCCTTCAATCACCAGGGCCCCCATAGAAAACAAACCAACAGTGGCACTTCATGGGCAATTTTGTCTAGCTCAAGGGTCTTCAAACTTGGCAAGTTTAAGACTTGTGGACTTCAATTCCCAGAAATCCTGAGCTAACATGACTGGAGAAGGAATTCTGGGAATTGAAGTCAACAAGTCTTAAAGCTGGCAAGTTTGAAGACCCCTGCCATAGCCACTATAGAACACAAGGCCTTGGCAGAAATGCTCATCGTGGCTTTGGGAAAGTCCCTCAATGCTCCATGGAAATCCCTTGTTAGATTGACATATCAACAACAAAATCTTCTGATTCAGTGCTGTAAAATTTCTTGGATACTATTACAATCACCCGGATAACAATTTGCACCCAACATCACCTAGGTTGACAAATAGCTTGTGCCAGAGCAGATGATCGGATGGGCATATTTTTTTACTCAGGGAGACAACCCCTACCCCGCTTTGCCATCATTGTAAATCTAATGAGAATTTCTATTCTTTTCCAAACAGGTGATGGCCTGGTGAATGAGAAAGAAAAACAGCTGAGGTTACTGACATTGCAAAGAAAAGTGTCTGCAAAGAATCATTCCTTCCCTTTTACTTTATCTAAAATACTGAATAGAAAATACAAACTACATACTTTTGCAAAATATGAGAGGGATTTCCATCTAAGCAAAAAGATGAAACTATGCATTCAGTATGGAAAGAGCTTCAGTACCAAAAGTAATCATTGCCATTGGAGGATCCACACAAATGAGAGGTCATATAAATGTCCAGAATATGGAAAAAGCTTTTGTCAGAAAACAGGGGTTATTTGTCATAGAAAGATCCATGCAGGAGAGAGACCATATAAATGCATGGACTATGAAAATAGGTTTATTGCCAATTGTCAGCTTACTTTCCATCAAAGGATACACACAGGGGGAAAATTGTATAAATGCATGGAGTGTGGAAAAAGCTTTCGTTGGAACTCAGAATTTATTCGTCATAAGCGGATCCACACTGGGGAGAGACCATATAAATGCATAGAGTGTGGAAAGCACTTTATTCAGAAAAGACATCTTATTGTTCATGAAAGGATCCACACCGGGGAGAGACCATACAACTGCATGGACTGTGCAAAGCAGTTTACACAGAAAGGTCATCTCATATATCATGAAAGAATCCATACAGGGGAGAAACCATATAAATGCACAGAATGTGAAAAAAGCTTTGCTCAAAGAGCACAACTTAATGCCCATAAAAGGATCCACATAGGGGAGAGACTATTTAAATGCTTGGAGTGTGGGAAAAGCTTTAATTGGAGCAGGGGTCTAATTCATCATAAAAGAACTCACACTGGAGAGAGACCATATAAATGCACAGAGTGTGGAAAAAGCTTTGCTCAAGCAGCATATCTTAATGCTCATAAAAGGATCCACACAGGGGAGAGACCTTATAAATGCCTGGAATGTGGAAAGAGCTTTTTTGACAGCGGTGATCTTACTCGACATCAGAGGATCCATACAGCAAAGAAACCATATAAATGCATAGAGTGTGGAAAGAGCTTTATTGACAAGTGTCGCCTTACTACCCACCAAAGAATTCACACGGGGGAAAAACCGTATAAATGCATGGAGTGTGGGAAAAGCTTTTGTCGAAACGTAGAATTTATTCATCATAAGAGGATCCACACTGGGGAGAGACCATATAAATGCATGGAGTGTGGAAAAAGCTTTGCTTGGAAAGGGCATCTTAATACTCATAAAAGGATCCACACAGGGGAGAGACCATATAAATGTTTAGAGTGTGGAAAGACTTTTGTTCGGAAAGGATGTCTTACTGGTCATGAAAGAATTCACACAGGGGAGAAACCATATAAATGCACAGTGTGTGGAAAGATGTTTGCTAGGTCGGGACATCTTTATTCTCATAAAAGGACCCACACAGGAGAAAGACCATATAAATGCACAGTGTGTGGAAAGAGCTTTAACTGGAACAGAGATCTCATTCGTCATGAAAGAATCCACACTGGGGAGAGACCATACAGGTGCATGGAGTGTGGAAAGCACTTTACTCAAAAAAGTGGTCTTATTAATCATAAGAGAATCCATTCTGGTGAGAGACCATATAAATGCACAGAATGTGGAAAAGGCTTTACTCAAAGAGGACCACTTAATTCTCATAAAAGGATTCACATGGGGGAGAGACCATATAAAAGTGTGTAGTGTGTAGAAAGCTTTAACAAATTTACTCATGAAAGAATGCACACACAGGAAAATCCATAGAGTGTATGGAGTGTGGAAATAATTTTACTAGGAAAGAACATCTTACTCATCACGAAAGAATCCATGCTGGGAGGAAGGCTTCTAAATGAATAAAGTAGAAAGATCTCCAGTACAGACTTTTTTCTGACTCAACCCACATAGGAGAGAAATCATGTAAATGCAGGGAGTGTGGAAACAGCTTTACTCTGGAAGGACACCATAATTCTCATAAAAGAATGCTCACAGAAGAAACCTTAGAAATACATGGAAGGTGCTTCAGAATAAGCTTTCTGGTCCCAAATACTGGAATTCATTCAGAACAGCCAGCTGTTCCCTTTCCTACTTTGACCTGCATTTTTCTTCTTGCTGTGAAAAGAGGGATGCAAAATAGGAATTAAGCCCTTCAGTTTTCCTCCCTGTTACTGATCACCATCTTACTATCTTTTTCCAATTGGAGAATTCTGACTGATGAATTCCTTGACTTCCCTCTTAATTTACCTCAAGACACTATATAATGAGTGTCAAGCCTGCGGTCTGGATGCATCACATGCTGGCCCCATTCAGTTTAGCAAAGGGGAGAAAAGTCCTGCTATGTCATGTGATGCCGCCTTGGCCGGAGTTTGATACCCCTGGTCTATATGAAATGGAAATGGTATACATATATCAAATTCAGAAAGCAATTCAATCTGCGGTGTTGTTTTAATTTGGAAAACATCGTGGTCATTTTCATTCCTCTTAAGTTTAGCTAAAGAAATCTTGCCATTTCTCTTGAGAGGAGTGAGTTCAGCCTCAGAAAGGCACCCTGTTTTTGAGCAGTTGCCAAAGTAATTATTCTTCACCACTTCAGCTTCCCAACATATTTTGGGGAGGAAACTCCTTTTACAGTCTTGGAACCTTATTAAGAAACTTATTAATAAAGGTTTCCCCCCCACCCCTTTTCAGTAATGTTAAAGAATTTTGCAAATGAAAATGGTGACAGTTCACAAAGATTACTAGGGAACAAATTGAAATACACATTATTTCCATAGCAAGGAAGATAAAGCGGGAATGGCTAAATTGATTATTTTATTCAAAGAGTAAAATATGTTCTTATTTGGATATCACTTCTGGAATTTGTGTTTGTGAAGAAAAATATGAAACTTTGACCTTGGTTTTATTAATTAGATTTGTTGTTATAGGAATGGCTAGTTATAAATGTGTAAAAGCAAAAAAGTTGAGGTTGTAGTGTGTTTATCTTGTACTGTGCTAAGAAGAGTTGGAAGTCAATGCCCCCCTTTTCTCTTTCCCCTTGTATCTCACGCTCCCTTTTCCCTGCTCCCTTTCCCCTCCTTAATTTCCTGTTTTCTTCTTTGTATTTTATATAAAAATAAAAATGATAAAAATTTGGGGAGGAGAAACTTTTTAGTTGTAATTTCTCTGCAGTTGCTTTCCATTTATTCTTTTTTCACTGCTAAGCCATTTAAATTTAGTAGCTGGAGTAGTGGGGTTGGGCAGTGAACCAGAACATGAAGTTGTGCTTGATTGTTTGAAGAGTGCTGGCTCCTCCTATGTGAGGCAATCTGTACTTGAGTTGGTTGTTGTGGGTGTTGAGTGAGGAGTTTCCCTCCCCCATTCTGTGTATTCCCTGTGCTCTGCAATTTACCTGGTGATGCTCCTCTACCTGACTGTTGTATCAGTGGTGGGATTCATTTTTTTTAATCACCAGTTCTGAGAGTGCGGCTTGGTGCGCTTTATGCACGCATGCTTTATGCACGTGCAGAGGATTTGCTACTGACCTGCAATCCTGCACTCTCCCTGTGTGTTAAACAGCTGATGCGCAGCAATCCACTCTGCTACGTGAAGCAGCTGACCTTGAAAACCAGGAAATAAAAGTCAGAATAGAGTCGGGGCAGGCGGGCCCAGCAACTGATCGTTGGAGCGAACAGGTTCACTCACAGATGATCCTTGGAACAATCCTCAGCCAAACTGGTAGAATACCACCCCTGGGTTGTATATATTGATGTAATATATGTTTATATAAAACTACAAGTATGTGTCAGCATATGTAAGTTCATTTGGACACCTGCACAATTCCCTGACACTATCTGACCCAGTTTTCATGGCCCATGAGCCCCATAATTCATTCCACATATGGGGATAAACCCACTTCAGGAGGTTTCACTTCTGAGGGAGTTTTTTAGGTATTGCCACCCCTTGAAATCAGCTTCAAACTTCAGCCCACAATGAAGGATCAAGAAGAAAAATTGAACAAAAAGTCAAGACTTCAACAGAACACAGATACAGAAAAATGTATAGGGCATATTGTATTCTGTAGAAAAAGAGGATTTTAACAGACCAAAACACCAGAGAACAAACTAGCCTGAAGAAATCCCCAGGGTATTTATTGTTTACATATCAATTTGTGTGTTGCTCTTCCAGGTTCAGGCATGCCAGCTAGCTGGTCTTCACGTGCATGGGAGCGCCGGAAACTGGAAGAGCAGCTGCCTGATTTGCATGTGTGTGCCGGGAAGTTCTTCCAGTTTCCAGCATGTGCACCGACCAGTTGGTCTTCACGTGTGCCAGAATGTGGAAAAGGCTTTGCTTGAAAAGAATATATTACTGATCATGAAAGTATCCACACAGGGGAGACACCATATAAATGCAGAGCGTGGAAGTGACTTCCGTACAAGGAGTAATCTGATTCACCACCAGAGGATTCACACAATGGATAGACCATTGGATGGAGTTTGAAAAGATTCACTGAGAGTAGTGCCATCAGAAGACCAACACTTGATAGAACATATAAATGCTTGGAGTATGGAAAGAGCTTTATTAACAAATGGATGCACACAGAGGAAATACAATATAAATGCAAGGAGTGTGGAAAAAGCTTTCATTGGAACAGTGATATTGTCATGAAAGATCCATATTGGGGAGAGTCCATATAAATACATGGAGTGTGGAAAGCTTTATTAACAAATGGTGTCCTTGACTTTCCTCTTAATTTACCTAAAAAACTGGTCTTCCGGTGGCACTTCCATTGAAGACTGATCGGAGTTGGAGATTGTGCATAGCCTCAATTTGTGCTCTACCCGTTGGAGGGTCCCAAACAGGATCAGAGCCACCCTGTAGGGGTGGTGAAAAACGGGGAGACTGCCTGTCGGATCGAGGGGAGCCACATCTCTTCTCCCTGGCTAGGAACACTCCCTACGAAGACAGGCTGTAGCGGTAGTCTCAAAGTGGCTACCGTGAAGACGGAAGTCTAGCCAGAAACTAAGGTTGTTGTGGAGCGGTGATGTGATGAAGTGTGTGGACCAGGCAAAATATCAGACTTTAAAAGGAAACTCCAGAATAGAAGAAAAGAGTTCTTGTTAAGGATTGTAGAAGCGGTCATTTGAAAGAGGAAAAATTGGAAGTGTATGAAAATGGACTTCGAAAAAAATTCAAACAGTTGTGAAATAATTCAGATTATAACGTTATGAAATTGAATTGGATAATTATACAGAATTTGGCACTAATTAGGCATTGATTAAATGCTGGAAATCATCACTTGAGACTTTCAAGAAGAGATTGGACTGCCATTTGTCAGAAATGGTGTAGGGTCCCCTGCTTGGGCAAGGGGCTGGACTAGATGACCTACAAGGTCTCTTCCAACTCTGTTATATCTGTTAGGAATTGACTATATTAAAAAGAAAATAACAGCTGATAATTTGGAATTAGTGAAGCTAATAAAAGCTTAAAAGTGGAAAATTAAAAGTTGGAAAGTGGAAACTGAATTAAGAGCGCCACCTAATGGTAAAGAAAAAAATTTATTGACTTTATGGAAAGTGTTTGGTCTACCTAAGATCTGAATAAGAAACAAAATAAAAGGAATTTTCATACAACAAAACTTCAAAAAGTGGAATATTAAAACAGTACAGAAAAGAAATATGTGAAGATATTACCCTGGGACTGACTGGTGGTTTTGAAATAGTTTGAAAAGGAGTAAACTGAATAAAATTGAAAAATAAAGACTTCTAGACATTAACTGTAAAAAATTAAAACTTAAAAGATGCTGGTTTAAATAAACTACGGGACAATTGGATATAAATATTAAGGAAGAAAAAGAAGAAGTGAAATAAAACGAGTGAAATATATAAGGAAATAGGACTGGAACTGCAAAGTGTGGATAGACATAAAGACATAAAAGACATAAAAATTTATTTGTCATTACACTCGCAAGCGGGTGCAACGAAATGAGGTGCTCTTTCACAAGTAAAACTGGACAACACCATTGAAAGAAAAATAAAACTAAACACAACAAACCATACAATAATCTCTATACAATTTAAAAATGTAGATACCCCATTACTCTCAGCCATTAAATTCCACGAAAATCTTATGACCCTGCATTCAAACTCAAAACTGCACTTGGATAAAAACTGTTCTTAAGTCTAGTTGTCCTTGTTCTTAAAACCCTTAATCTCCTTCTTGATGGTAATAGTTCAAAGAGCTGATGTCCCGTATGAGAGGAGTCATTCAATATATTAAATATCTTCCTCTTACATCTATTCCTATAAAGTTCTTCCAAAGAGGGGAGTGAGCAGCCAATGATGTCTTGAGCCATCTTAATCACCCTCTGAATTGCCTTTTTCTCTGCCACTGTGCAGCTCGAGAACCATACACAGAGACAGTAGGATAATCTACTCTCAATTGAACTCCGATAGAAGGTAGTCA